CCACTGTGTCGCCCTCTGGCATTGAGCTGAAGAGCTTGGTTTCGCCAGCCTTGACCAAGGTGTCCACCTACTCCTCGCCCGGCTACACCTACAGTCAGTCCACTCCGGGYATYTCCAAGTCGGCTACCTATACATCGCCCTCGGCCTCCAGTGGAGCATACTATGCCCCGCCCGTGACCACCAAGGTGSAGACCTATACCTCCCCTGGCTACACCTACTCYAAGGCCACGCCTGGCTTCTCCAAGGTGGAGACCTACAGCTCACCCGGCTACAGCTACTCCCAGGCATCGCCAGGTGTTGCCAAGATAGCCACCTATTCGCCTTCCATTTCCTATGCTGCGCCTGCGCCTGCCCTCAAGCTGGCCACCACCTCGTCGCTGTTCTCCTCGCTCGGCTCCGGCTACTCGGCCAGCTATGCGCCCGCTCTGGCCAAGACCTATTTGCCCGCAGCGCCCGCCATTGCYACCCAATATRTTTCGTCCCCTGCCAAGGTGGCCACCTAYAGCGCTCCTGCCGTGTCCACCTATGCTTCAGCTCCCCTTAGCAAGCTGAGCACCAGCTATGGTGCCAGTGGCTCWGGCGCCATCTCCCATCAGTACGTYTCCAAGCCAGCCGTGGCTACCTATGCAGCTGCTCCTGCTGTCACCAAGACTGTYAGCTATGCTGCTCCTGCCGTCACTAAGATATCCAGCTATGCTGCTCCRTCTATCTCCACCTACTCCTCAGCTCCTTCGGTAGCTAAAGTGGCGACCTACAGCCAGGCAGCTGATGTCTCCCATCAGTACATTTCCAAGCCTATTGTCGCTGCCTATCCGGCAGCCGCTCCAGCTGTGGCCAAGGTGGGCTATGCCGCTCCTGCCGTCAGCTACGCCAGCAGTGGACATGGCGCTGTCTCCCATCAGTACGTGTCCAAGCCTGCCCTGGCCACAATCTCTGCTGCTCCGGCGATTGCCAAGGTGGCATCCTATGCCGCTCCAGCTGTGGCCACCTATTCCACCGGTCCGGCAATCTCAAAGGTTGCCAGCTATGCACCTGCATCCATATCCACCTACTCCGCTGCTCCGGCTATTACAAAAGTAGCCACCAGCTATGGCAGCTCTGGCCATGGCGCTGTCTCCCACCAATATGTGTCCAAGCCCGCCGTGGCTACCTATGCAGCTGCTCCTGCTCTCACCAAGACTGTCAGCTATGCTGCTCCGTCTATCTCCACCTACTCCTCAGCTCCTTCGCTTGCCAAGGTGGCGACCTACAGCCAGGCAGCTGATGTCTCCCATCAGTACATTTCCAGGCCATCCACAGTGTATGCTGCTGCTCCAGCGATTGCAAAAGTCGCTACCTACGCAGCGCCTGCCGTAGCCACCTATTCCGCTGCTCCAACCATCACCAAGCTGGCAACCAGCTATGGTAGCTCTGGTCATGGCGCCGTCTCCCACCAATATGTGTCCAAGCCCGCTGTGGCTACCTATGCAGCTGCTCCWGCTCTCGCCAAGACTGTCAGCTATGCTGCTCCAGCCATCGCCACCTACTCGGCAGCTCCCTCAGTTGCCAAGGTGGCGAC